GCGATGCACCGGTAGGCGAAGAATCCCTTCCAGGAGGCTCCAGGTTAATCCCCGGCTAGCTTCATACACAACGGCAACAGCTTCAGGAGGGGAGGTATCCGGGAATCAGATAAAAACATAAAAGAAAAAAGGGAAAGTATATAATGGTGACTGAAAGCTGGGCTAAAGAGAATCGCCTACCCCGTGCGGTCGATCAGGCAATCGATCGAGCGGACGAATGCGTTTTCAAACACCCGGCTAATTGGACTTTTGCCTCAGAGTTGAGAGGACAGTGTTTTCGGCGGCATTTTCTGGCTACGTTGGCAGAGGTTTTGTTAACACGTTTTTCGTGGTCAAGGCTGTTGGAATTTTGATTTTTCTTCGGCTGGGCTAGAATTGCTGCGGAGAAATTTCTGGGTGGTTAATTCGGAATAGCGAAAAAGGGAAGATCTAACAATTACTGACTTCGGTTATCGTTCGTCGCCTCACTGCGGAACGAGAATCACGGATTAGGGAAGACCAGGCAGGCTTCCGCCAAAGACGTGAGTGTATTGACCACAAAATCACTCTACAGCAGGTGCTAGAGCAGCGCCACGCATACCGCAGACTTACAATAGCTGTGTTCCTCGATTTCAAGAGTGCGTTCGATTCAGTCGATCGATCGATTCTGTTCGAAATACTTTCGCGGAAAGGTGTTCCCACGAAATATCTGAACATCCTTCGTGTTCTATAGTCGAACACTACAGGCCGCGTCAGGGTCTACGGTGTCCTATCGGATAGCTTTCCGACCACAAGTGGCGTTCGTCAGGGTTGTCCGATTTCCCCGTTTTTGTTCAATTTCGTCGTGGATTCTATCATGGAGTGTTAACTTTCGGGATCTCACAATGTAGTCGTTGAAGTGCTGCCTAGTGAAAGGTCAGTTGATCGTGATTATGCGGACGATATCCTACTTTTCGACGATGTTGCAGTGGCAAAACCACCCCAGAATAGCCTCTCTAAAGTGGTCCTATTATTTAGAATGTGCTCACACCTCCAAAGTGCAAAGTGTTGCTGCAGGACCACGAACCAGTTTATGACCCCTTGACCCTTGCTAACGAGGAACTCGAGGTAGCTGACCTATTCACTTACCTTGGCAGCTGCATCCGCAACGATGGACGCGCAGGAACTGAAGCCGGTTCACGCATTGCAAGGACCAGAACTGCCTTCTTGAAACTGTGGCATCTTTGGCGACAGAAGGGAGTTTCCTTCCGTCTGAAGGACCGTGTTTACAAGGCCACAGTGAGGGCCGTCCTGCTCTATGGGAATGAAACTAGCGCCTTCGGTCGGAAGATCTGACGCGCTTTCTAGCCTTGTTCATCGTTGTCTGCGAAGCACTGATAGTGTCGGATGGCACCAACGTGTACACAACGATGATGTGCGTAGGCGAGTACTAGGTAGTGACAATCATGCTAGCTCCCTAGAACAGCAGATAGCGTTGGCTTGGGCACGTGCGACGTATGCCTGGTCACCGCTTACCTAGGAGGGCCTTGTTTAGTCTGCTAGATGTAGCATGGCGCAAAAATCGAAGGGGACAGAAGTTGAATTGGCACCGGGAAATGGACGCACTGAAGACCAAACTAGGTGCCGTTGGTCCTTCTCGCCTTGTACTTGGCTCGAGACATTACAGAACATGATTCGCAGTTGTCACTAGTGGCGTGTCTGGTGTTGTCTCCTAATCGGGTTGCCTGTTTAAAGTGTGTTTGGTGCTGAATTATCTGCGAGGTAATGGCTGATTATGATGCGGGGCAGTGAAAGCCGCAAGGAAGCTGTTTCGCCGATGCCGCTTTAGCTTTGAACGATAGCCAGCTGTTTGTGATTGCATGTTGTCTACACAAGGTGTAGGCGCCTTGATACTGAATGTTTGCTTAGGGCGGTAAGGTTTTTAGATAAGTCCCCCTTCTCTCCCTTTTTCTTTATTCCTTAGGTCATCGTAGTTGTATGACAGCGAAGCATCAGTTCAAATGGCTGGTGTACTGTTGTTGTTGATTATGAGGAAGGCATAGGTGATCAAAAACACACAGCCACCGGACATCCTTTGAACTAACAGGTCGTCTTGCAACAACAGAACAAGGCAGCTCTTACTTCAGCATTATAGTCAGTTCTTCAGAGATGACGGAGAGTAACAAAAGCAAACCGGGATTTATGGACGCGCAGAGACATCCTTTAAACCGCAAGCGCAGATCCAGATTTCGAAGCAAAGTTATCCACTACTTCCAAAGGATGGCCCAGAATGTAGAAGGAGCAGCTGTTAGTCAGTCCTGCAGGAAGATCTTATACTTTGATGGGGCGAAGGTCATTCCGAATTCGGAGATAGACAACATCAACCTACGCAGTACATTTAGGGCAGTCTACGAGGAATCGCAAATTACAGCGGTGCCGTCTGCATAATCCAAGTAGCGAAGTCGGTCATCCGGAAGCAGCTTCATGGTACTGGGTTCGCTGTTGTCTAGAGCACTCTCCAAGATGTCGTCGAGCAGAAAAGGTGATGCAGGGTAACACTGACTCACGTCACTGGTGATACTGATTGGGGGCGAAAGTCTGTTGTACACCTGCACCCGGCTCGATAATAGATAGTTTGAAGAAGGTTGACATGTTTCTTGTGCACTCGCTTCACAAAAGACAACTCCAGAGTAGCTCGGTCAATGTTTGACGATGCCCGAGTATCTGGTGGATCGTAAAGCTCCGGCTGGAGCGGGACCTACGGTGCTCTGTGCATATGTTCTGTTTGCGAATCAGACTAAGCGTCCTTAAGAACGGAACGGCGAGCACTCTGGACGCAGCGCAAAGTACACTGATCCTCCATGAGTGACGCAGTCTGTCCGAGCATCCTTGCTGAAGACAAGAACGTTATTCACTAGACCCCAAGCCAACAGAATTGCTTCAGTGATAAAAATATCTTGAAAGTGGGAAGTTAGTTGCTGTACAACCGATGGGCCTCCATCTTTACTAAGAGCCGGAGAGAGCTTGTCCGGGCCAAAGGTTCTGTAGCGCTTCAGGAGGCGAAGATCATAAGCAACTTCAGTCTCAGATAGTGGTGGAGCATCTACACACCAGGCAGCACTCTGATTGCTGAGTCAGTACTCACCGGTGCTGTTGGCCAATTAAACTTCTGTTCAAAATGTTCGGCCCGAAGTACAAGTGGATATTGTTGACGATAGATTGGTTTGTCATTGGTTTCACATGAAACTTCACATAGAGTAGGCTTTCGGCCGAAAGTGGATCGGAGCAGGAGGAAAGGCTTACCGAAATTTCACGAGGCCGCTTGTTCAGTCTTGACACGCTGTGTCCACCAGTCCTCGAGATCTGGCCGGAGGAGTACCTTGACTTAGGCGCTAGTAATCCTGCGTAGTGAATGATACTCAACGCCGGTGGGAATCGCTCGACGGGCTTCAAAAAGCTGGGAAGATCATGCGAAGATCCATTGGTTAACAAGACTACTAGTGAGACCATAGACCAAAGTCGCAGAGCTGTGCATGGCCCTCCGGATATGTACCCAGTGTGTCTCTGTCTGAGTGCAAGACACTCTTGTGTTTTAGGCCAAGAGATCCTTAAAGGCGCTCAGAACATTTAGAGCAAAGAGCTCTGTCACCTCTAACCGTTTCCGGCAACGGTGTTGGTCAACATCCAAACGCAGAGCCGCCATAGCACACAAGAGTGCATGATCCGAAGTGAATCAGGTCCTCCGGATTAATTTGTAATCTTTTTATGCAGCCACGCCAATGGTAACTGGTGGCGATGTGGTCAATTTGCGTTTGCGGTTGGTCAGGTGATGGGGCTTCCAGATGGCGCCTTGTTGTCAGGATCGCCGAAACTTGGTATTTAAGAGAAATAGGCCGTGATCCGTACAGGGCTGAAGTAGACGATCACCGTTTTCTGTCCTGTTAATAACATGGTCATGTTGACCACCGAATTCACGTTCAACTTCAATTCCGCCGACCTCCGTGTTTACTTCTTCGGCAAATACCACGAGGTCCGTGCTGCGCTTTTTCGAAGGTAGGAGAGTTGACACTAGAATTCACCATTCCGCACTGCAGTCTGTGGAAGCATACGCTGTTCCAACGAATAAACGTCTGTTGGCTCCGCGGAGTAACGGTCGTATTGTTTCAAATCAAATCGCTCAATGCAATCCGCACGTCAGATTGACCAGCGGTTTCCGCAATTAAGTCTTGAGATAGGCGCGATGTGAAAATGCCAGTGGAACTCGCAGACGATAGAGCAAGCTGTAGCGTCTTGCTACAGCAACAAATGTCAATGGCAGTGGTTTCTAAAGTGCTATCAAGGACAGTTGGCTTCGACGATGCACAATGGATCAGATAGTAGAAATTTGAGTATTCACTGTAACTCCCACCTAATTATCTCGACAATATCCGGGTAAATCTCATGCTGTGCCTAACGCGTGCATCGCTACCACCAAATCTCATAGTAAAGCCTCATATTCACACTCGTCCCTCGATCACCGTGACATGCGTTGTGCGCCGTTCACTCGCGGTATGGCCGATGTACACACGTTCGCCGTTGTTGCGGCTACGTTGGTGTACGCAATTAGTCATCTTACCAATGGGAAGTGTGTCTTTCAGACACACCAGTGCTGAACAGATTTGGATTGTTATTACTTGGCTACTACCCTCTGAAAGACAAACGAATTTCCATCCACCCAAGATATTCGTATTCGATATTAAACGTACTTGTTGCACTTTTTTTACTAACGATTGAGCCTGTACATCAATGCGGCTTACTTCCGTGCGTAGCAGTGGCATTAGAGAAGTGAACTTAGTCCACCTGATATTCTGTCTTAAGATGGACCATAGGTCATTGCTAGTTAACTAAAACCGACATGCCCTTTTGCTTTCTCTACTGATGTTATACTGTCCCACGGCCGTTGAACACTTATTATTTGCACAATTGTGATTATTCGATGCACTCCTTTTTTGGTCAGTAAATTTCCTCACTTTCGATTTTTGCACTTTTCTCCTGTTTTACAGGGCATGTGCTTGATCCAGGTTCAACCGTTCTGGGCCTGAGTACATCCACCTGGATGCTACACTCAGCCGTTCATCTAGCTCGGGCAGACATTCGCTGCATCGTTCACGTTGATACACCAGCCACAGTAGCAGTACGTGTGGCTCTCAGTAAACCAGTTGACATTCTGTTCCACTTACCCAACTTTTCCATCTGCATGTGAATATTATCTTCGGGTCTTCATTTTAGCCATAGTTTTGCACCGCCCATCCTTTAAAATTTATGTTTCCGTTCACTATTTCGTTTAGGTTTCCTGTATGAAGTCTGGTCTGCTACCGCTCTGTCAGGAAGCCATGATCCTTGGAGATATCGCGTACTACGCTCCTCCCAATTCTGTTACCTTAATCAACGGTGATCGGCCCCCTGCTGTCGATCATGACAGACTCAAGGATTGGACCCAGGAGAGGACAGTCCTTGTGGAAGCTTTGGGACCCACTGCTCGAGTGCTTTTCCTTTGGAGCCGTGGTCTTCTCGCGTTGGGTGAAACCATAGAAGAAGCATGGCATTACGCTACGAATTCAGTCGTTGCATGTGACACGCAGGTTAGCAACTACTTAAGAAATCCTGTCGAAATCAAAATGCTGAGTGCGCCATGTGTAGATCCCGACTCGAAGACCGTTCCTCCGGTTGTCCGTAGTTTATTCCACTTAATTTCTCCTATTCACCTTAAAGCTGATTCATGTCTCTGGTCCCCTTCGACCATCAGCCAGGTGTACACTTTGTCGCAACCTTTTGATGTTTCATTGCCGCTTGTCTATTATTCACTTCATACTTACATTCACCTACAGCTTCTCTTGGCCTCCCTCGGAGTCGATAACCTTTTTCTGCCAACGGACAAACTTAGACAGAAAACTTTCGAGAGCTGGCGCACCGCTGACTTGGGAGGACTAAGTGGTCCCGAAGCCGCCTTAGCCGCAAGGCTAGCGTCGCTCAGTAGGTCGTCGACCGCCGAACGAGGTGGTCATTCTGCATCCAATGGCACGGTCGCCGACGGGGACAATGCACTTGTGACTCAATCACGACCATGGCGACTTGGTGAACTAGAATTCGAAGCAATGATGCGTCATTTGGACAACGCCGGTTGTCGGACTGGATACTTATATCGTCAGGTTAGCATGGCATTTCTATCTGTCGCAGTCACATGTTTTACACTACAAGACCTAGCTTGCCTCCGCGTGATCCCTAATCTCCACATCCGCTAGTTTGCCATGTCTCGCATTTCTTATGCCGAAAATCGCCCATTATTTCATTACTTTCTTTAATGTAGCGACTGATACAGCTGAGCGGTTTGAAGTGCATGTTATTTCCCTTTCCGTGTCTGCTCATAACGCCCTTACCATTACTCGATTATGTGGGTGGGCTGTCACCCACCATATTAAAATAGCTGAGCTTCTAAATTGTTGTGTGGGATTTCCTACCCATAGTTGTTTTGTTTACATCCTGTATCCGTTCAATGGACAAAGCATCATTTATTCTACAACGGCTACCCCGCACTAAACCGACTACATGACCAGTCTTACTCCCATTATCAGTCTGTTGGTTTAATCAGCTCACGGGATTAAGCGTTGCATTCAGGCAAACGGACGTAACGCTCGGTCTCAAATTGTAACCATGCATTCACTTCGTGACATGAATTTACATTCCTTTCATGACTTTTTCGCCCAACATACCCTGTTTAATAGCGCTTTATCACTCTATCACACGTCGATTTCTCCTGTTCCTCTTAATCAGGCTGTGCTGTAGTTTCATTTTATCACCACATTTTATATTTTTATTCTGCTTATGCTGGTTCATTGACCAACACCCTGACGTCCTCTTCCCTTCATCTTGCACTTAGCTATGGATGATCCAATTTGGTGTTTGGACCTCAGCTTCCATGAGTTTATGTGCTGCTCATTCTTTTTCTTTACGGAGTATAACTGCTCTCTCATCGTGTGCCACCATTGCATTTGTTACATCCTGAGGTTTGTCACTTGTTTCTCAGGAGGCCCTTTCAAGCCCAACTGGTGCGAGACGTGCGAGAACACTTGATGGAAAAGGTTGTATCAGTCAGGATGATGGTATTAGAATCCCTCCTACAGCCTCATCACTCACTGCAACGATGGCTTTCTTCCACGACGACGGTGTTCTCTCAGGAGAGGAAACCGACACACATCGTCCCTTGTAAGTTCACCACCTTGTGCACTTTTTGCTAGTGGTATTTTTGTCATAAGTGTACTAAGGGTTTCGGCTCGTTCGGTTTGGCACTTGTTCGATTAGACAAAATAGCTCAAGTGCCACCATTGTACTGCTGGCCTTCCCTTTATCCAATAATTATCGTTGCATACTGGTGATGGGCAGCTATCCACTGGCTTCCAATTCCATATCTGTCTAGACACTTCGAAAACACAGGGGTTTTCAAACTCGAGAAGAAATCTAAGCAGAACGCTTAGGGCGAACAATTGTTTTCGATTCTTTCTTCATCATAAGGGTTTATCAACACAGTGCACATTCCAATCATCCGTCACATTGTCGATCTTCGGTTTCCAACTGTGCAGCCGGTGTCATTTTGAATTAGATCGGGGCAAGGAACTCTCACCATTCAACTCGTCTGCTGGAAAGACTTGAGCAAGTAGCGTGGTAATTTTCGCATTGAACCGCTGGTCTGCGCGGCCTTGAATTAGGATCACGTAATTTCGCCACGCTGCGCTTCCTTGTTTTTGACAGCCATGCAGTTACCTGCATTCATCCGGTAGTTTCTGAAGGTCAGCTGCGTCACTTCGCAGCCCTTAGGACCACAACATATGGGTGCTGGATGTCCTAAACGGGCTGGTTGCTATTGGCACCAAGACGTACACTGTTCATTTGCGATAGGTCGTCTACGCGGAAGTTGTCATCATCATTTGATCTGCTATCCAAATACACCACTGGCAGCTTTAATCCAATGCAAAGTTTATCGTCCGATTTCACCGAGTCAATGGTCTTGACCGAGTTCGTTTTGTACGAACGAACAACTCTGCTTATTTTCCCATGCACATTTCTATTTCCATAATAAGTGCAACGATACTCGACCAGAAAGCCTAGATTGTTGTTCATCCCCCTCTTGTGTATTAGGGCTCTCACGTGTTAGTTTGCGAGTGAGCAGATAACACGGAATGGTTCCATCTCGCAATACCAGTCTTCTCATCGTCTTAGTTAGACTCGGTGAAAATTGATCAAGTGAACGAGCTTTACATTCACGGGAGGGCTGTAGTGCTGGCTGGTTATCTGAACATACTTCAGAAAGTTGTCCACTGGGTAAACAATATGGTGCAAACGTTCGTGAAAAAAATGTGGTGTGGTTGCTACATTTGTGTGAAAGTGCTCGTCTATTTCTCACGAACGCGAACTTCCGACACAGCACACAGACCAGCTTCGGGCTGGCCGTGGACACATACTGATCGCATCGTGATCATTTACAGTTTGAGAGGTTGCGTCAAAAACTGTCGCACAAGCGTGACGCACGTGCTCCTGGGTCATTTGGTTTATTCCTCTCTCTCCGTCTTCTCGCAGCGTAGTTACCGTACGTTCATTCAAACCGGATTTACCAGCTCTACACAGTGATCCGTCATATGTGGAATTATCTTCTACGATTAAAGTCCGTACCATCACACTAACTGTTTTCACTGTCCTCCGTGATTAAACACAAGCGTTTAACTCAATCACATTGAGTCGATTGCCTTTCTGTGTGACACCATTCGATACAGAATTCTCGAGGCAGTCCGAAATGCCTAAGCTTATTCCAATCGGGTGTTTCTCAACGCATCTGTGAAGTAGTTTGTGATATCTCAAACTGTTCAACTTGGTGTTTAGATTCCTTTACTTGGTCCCAAACCAGCTGGGCCTAACATCGCTCTATCAACCAACCAACACTGAAACGTGTGTTTACAAGGGATCACTGGTGATAGCGTGCGCGCCACGCTGACTCACGTTTTCGTTGACGCGGAAAGCTGCAATAACTGATCATCTGACCGACGCGTGACCTTAAAATTGCACGCTCTCTGCGACCATGTCCCATGTTAAGAGCAAGTGTGAATTGTGTTAAAGTGGTGAGTAGTGGGCTAGTGTGCACCATGTGCTTGACATCCTATCACATTAAGTGCCTTGGGATGGTGCCGGTAAAAACGACAAAGTCCTTTCGGTTCTGTCAAATATGCAATGCTATTCCAGTTGTTAGCTGTCTAACTGTACTACTGAAGAAGTGTGAAAGACTAACAGAGCCTGTGGAGCAACTGCCAAGCGCCAAGGTTACACCAATGGGAGGAAACGGACCTGCACTTGTATGTGAGAACGACAACCAAAATTCCCCATTCAGGCCGAAGAACAGGGCCAGGCGTCCCAACCTTACGCCAACGTCTCAGTCTCCACCCGTACCAGCTCCCTTCTCTCCCCCCCCCCCATAAGTAAAAGATTGCCTGCAGCGTGCCTGCTTCATCTTCTCTACAGGGTGTTACACCTAGTAGTTTGTTCGCTATACAACAGACCCTCACACACACATACACTATACCCGTTAGCTAGAGGTGGGAAACACCTCAGCTACTGTGCCGCAATACCTACAAGAAAAAGGGAATAAAATGCAACAGGTGCAAGCCAGCTGAGCTACCGGTAACGGATGCGCATCGTTCCGGTAAGCTACCTGCCGGTTACTATGCAGCAGAAAAAAAATAATTTACTAGGCAAAATTATAAAGTGCTAAATAATGAGATAGTGGTTGGAGGGTGGGACACAGAAACTCACAGCACCAACGCCACTGAGGTCGGCTCCTAGCTATATCAGCAAGTGTATCCAGCCAAACGTCTTCCTCGTCTTTCGGACCCCAACCAGGGAGCCAAGACGCTCCAACTGAGGCCAGCTTCGAAGTGAGGGCCTTCATTCCTCTGGTCCAAGTCATCGCTTGGCCACCCCTCCTCTTCTTCCATCCACACCCCCGGCGCGCAAACAACGCACGTCGCGGGAGTCGATGGGCTAGCATGCGTAACACGTGGCCGAGCCATCGGAGCCTGGTGCGTGAAATGACGGTGCTGAGCGGTTCATTTTCTTCTCCTGTGCCGTAAACAAGGCGTCGAACACGCTCGTTGCTCACGCGGTGTTCCCACCAGATGTGAGCTAAATTGCGAAGGCACCGGTGGTCGAACGTAGCTAGCCTCTTCAAGTCCGCCGACCTTAAGGGCCAGGTTTCGCAACCGTACAGTAAGGTCGAACGTACTGCTGCATTGTACACTCTACCCTTCAGGGCAAGAGTGATGTCGCGCCGACGCCATAAGTGGCAAAGGTTAGAAAAAGCGCCTCGAGCTTTTGCTATACGGTTCGTGATCTCATCTGCAATCCCACTGGCGCTGATACAACTTCCCAGGTAGTTGAATTTTTGAACGACTTCTAGCTGATCCCTACCAACGGTCAGCGTAGGAGGCGGTCCAGACCAATCTTGGAGGAACGCTTTGCACTTCGATGGTGCGAAACAAAGAACGAAGTGACAGACAGCTAGTGCTAATTTGTCCAGTGCTGCTTGGCACATTTGTGAGCTGTCACAGATTAGAGCAATATCATCAGCATACTCCAAGTCAAGAAGTCGTTCTCCTGGGAGTAGCTCCACACCTTCTAAGTCGTGTCCTGTAAACGCGATTTCCATGACTTCGTCAACAGCGAAGTTGAAGAGGAAAGGTGACAGCGGGCATCCTTGTCTCACGCCGCTGGAGATATTGAAGGGCGACGACAACTTGCCGTAAGCCCTCACTCTGCCCTAGCTACGAGCATATAATGCTCGGATAATATTCACATATTTCTCAGACACACCTCTCCTGAGTAGACAGTCCCAAAGTGCATGTCTATCCACCGAATCGAATGCACCTTTGATATCGAGGAACACGACAATGGTGGGTCGCCAATATATGTGACGGTGCTCCAACAACTGACGCAAGGTGAAGATATGGCCAATGCAGCCACGACCTCGACGAAATCCAGCTTGCCCTTCACGAATCTGGCTTTCACGAGTGCCAGTCAGTCTGTGAAGGGTTACGGAGGCAAGCAATTTGGAGGCGATGGAGATCAGACTGATTCCTCTATGACTGCCGCATTCCGATCGTGAGCCTCCTTTGAAAATTGGGACTATGACGGAGCGGCTCCAATCGGTTGGGACAGTTTCCTGCTCCCACAGTTTGACTAGTAACTCGTGTAAATCATCCACAAGAGCAGGTCCCTCGAATTTGAAGAGGGCTGGAGGAAGATCATCAGGTTCCGCGGCTTTATTTAACTTCAACAGTCCGATCTCATGTTCGACTTCTGAGCGAGAGGGTGGATCCAAATGGACAACCCAGGGAGTGGGGCGATCAGTGGCCGGCGAGAAATCTAACCATTCCGACCGAGTAAATTGCCTTTTAAAGTGCTCAGCCCAACACTCTAAGCGTTTTGATAAGTTGTGGACAGGCTGTCCACTCTCGTCACATATAGTTTCACTAACACCAGGTCTCCTGCTGCCCATTTCCCGTATCAGACGGATGGTTACCAAGGGCAGCGGCAATTTCCATCTCTGTTGCACGATGAGACCACCAGGATTCGCGGTCTCTCTTCAGTCTAGCACGTAGTTTTGCCCGTAGCTCTTTGTGAGTTTCATTGTGTTCGCTTCCAGCCGTAATATGCCGGCGAGCATCGATAAGTTCCAGAGACTGCGAAGAGATCCAATGTTCATGTTGGCGATTAGACACACCACATGAGGATTTTCCTGCTGCTAGTAAGGTCTGGTGAATATGAGACCAGTGAGCTACAATTGCATCCAGTGAGCGTTTATCCAACTCGCATGACAGCGTACTTTGATAGGCATTCAGAACAGCTGGCTTCGCCAGTTAGCTGGTGTCAATGCGGTCACAACGTCGTCGTGGGCGTCCGCCAAAACGCATCCGAATGTCAGCACGTAGAAGTGCATTGTCGATGTCCACACCTGTGCTCCAAATCGAGCGACAGTTCTGGAAGCAGCCTCTCCATCGGTAACTTATCGCAATGTGATCCATTTGCGTCCATAGCTGGTTCGAGGCTGGTAGGAGCCAAGTCACCCTCCGGCGAGTGCTGTGTCTGAAACTAGTGCTCGCAATAAATAAGCGAGCATCCTCACACAAATGAATAACTGCTTACCGTTTTCATTACCGGAGCCT